TTACTGAAACCCTGAATAATATTCTGATATATTTTGTTGTCTATTAACTGCACATGCAGTGCTTGCAGATGTGAGAAAGCAAAATTGTATTAGTATCTAGTCAAATCCCAAGTGTGCTGAACAAATAGTTGTATCATCCAGTAAGAAATGCAATGTTCAACAAAGATCTCTCAGAAGACCTATAAACTTTTTCAAACTACATTGGAAAGCTACTTTCAAACATTAAAAAGGAATTCTGTGACTATAAACCTGTATCAAATACTGAAATACTGCCATGAAATTAATATTCTGATTATAATGGTTGGTATACTTTGGTTATTCTTAAAATGTACTTTAAATAGTTCCTTGTGTTTTTATAAAGTCATTTCCCCAGCAACAACAAATTTACATATTCTATTAAATTAGTTCATTCATGGTGATCCAGAATCACTGACTGAATTAAACAAAATACTCTCTGCATCAATCTTGCACTTGGATTGTATGTAGATGGGTTCATTTATTCTATTGTACCTGGTCACTCAAGTACATTAAAAATGTGCTACATATAATCAGTCTGTGGGAAGGAGAGTGAGTATAACCTTTGAAGTGGTTGGTAACTGTCTTGTTCAATAAAGACTAAGATATGTATTAACTGGAATCATTTATTATTCTAAATTTTATATCCAATGTTTAATTTGCTTTGATATCTGCTTCTTTTTAACTGTTTATATACCACTACTGAACTGTAAGAGTTTACATTTTAAGAGAAACATTGACTATATTTAATACTTTCCTTCTGGTTCCTTACCATTTCAAACATTTATGCCTCAATCATTTCAGTTTAAAGTCAGTTTAAAACTGGCATATTTTAGCAGCACAATAAACAATGCTCTAAAAGTACTCTACTACCCAGTTTTATCTCAAGAAATGTGATGCATCTTCATCTATTAATATAAATTGCAATACAAGGAAACATTATTTGCTTTCCTATGAGGGTGTATTCTAAGATTAGTTTTTTATCTGATGTTTGAGAGCATGCACAAACGTTGCATGCTTTAGACACTGAACAGGTGTTTCATATGTGGCAGTAGAAAGAAGCCACTTTTTATATTTTACTGTATACATTTTGCCTCATATTTTCCATCTGTGTATGTTGTTCTTACTATGAACAACTTTAAATCGTTTCATCAGAAATGTGGCATATAAATCAAATTAATAAACCAAATCAAGAATGTTTTGAGTGGATGCAGTGGTCCTGACAAAAATAAGTCTACAGTCCTTATGTTAGCATGTTTACAATTTCTTGATACCTTTTTAATCTGCATTTGGTCATAACTATTTATCCACTTATTGTTATATCAGAAGTTCATAGAAATATTATCAGCATCACTCATACACAAAAAAAGAAATGTAAAATAGCTAAAATCCCCATTTAACTATAGCTAGCTATTTTCTCTTTTTTATTGCTTCTTATCTTTAATTAGTATAGCTTGCTATTTCTTACTTGTTTTCTGCACTTTCTAAAATGGTGCTTACCTTGAAAAAAATGAGTAATATCTTGAATGTATATAATTTAATAAAGTACTAGGCCACTGACTGCCCATCATTCATTTCTGATTGGTCCAGGTGAATATTTCAGTCAATGCTGTATCTAAGACTGGCAATGGTTTTTCAATTCTTCGAATTCTTCCCTCATTGTTATGAAGAGATATACTAAAACATACCAGATTGATTTGTTTACATTCAGAATGAATTGGATTTTCTCCTAAAGATCTTCAAATTCTATGATACTGATACATTGTATTACCTAGTTTCAAAGATCAATTGTAGTTGTTGCTTTCATTTAAAATACTGAGACCCTATAACCACTCAGACTTGTTCAGAACTATTCAGATTCAGGCAGCATATAAATAATAATAATACTAAAATGAATATGATTGGAACAAGTTTGTTGCTGCTTAACATTCTATGCCCAACATATCTAAAATTTATAATTATTCCCATCTTAAACTTACACCAAATTCAGATAAAATATTCAAATAATAAGCATGCCACGGTCCTCCAAAATACCATCATAACATCACTCCCTGTAATTAGGATGTAATTGGAAGACTACTCTTCAAATAAACTTGAGGAAACTTATCAAATGCATTCACATTTTTATGCAAGAAAAAAATAGCATTTGGAGGAAGAACAGGATTGTGCCTTTTTTCTTGTCTGCCTGTTCTTTTTCCTAGAATTGGCTTTTCTTTTCTTCTTTAGTCATTTAACTCTTTTAATATCCATTTTGCTGATATTAATGTGCCATAATTACACCCTATTATATACATAAATGTTGACCTATTTAACCATGTATTGGTGGCAATGAGGTTGTAATTCTGCATAATGTTTTTAAAAAATCAGCTTTCAGGAGAAAAAGCCACAAGAGTGGCTCTAGCAGATTTCTAGACCAAGTTTGACAGATGTGATTAATACTTTTCCAAGAGAGTATTGGAAGAACAGCCTATGGTAATGAAAATAAGTCTGGCAGCATCTTTTCTGCAGCTCACAAAACTTTTACCTTTTAATAAAATTTAGTATTCAGAAAAATTATTGCCACACTCCTGGTTTTTTGAAAGAGGATATTCATTTTCATTAGAATAGTACATACTGAAACAAATTTGGGAGCAATCAAATATACACTTGGATATAGACAGGCAAATCACAGGTGCAACTCTGCTATCACATTTTTTTCTACCAAATATCAGTTTTTTTAAATAAATCATATTCTAAGATCTAAAGTACTAGACTTTGATAAAGCTACAGCAAAACCACACAGAAATCATTTGTAATCTCACCATCTCCTTCCAGGCTGGGCAGTTTTAAAAACAAAAAAGTTATCAGTTGAAAAAAAAATTAGCGTGGCTAACCACCCAGAAATTGATTAAAAGTAATGTTTTCCTTACAAAGTTTTAGAAAGTCCATAACCGTACATACAAAAATACAAAAAAAATTAGCGCTACGTTATTTTTCTGCATTAATAAACATTACAAGATAACACTTTGATTTTATTTCACTGCTCGACACATTGAAGGCCCACTGTAGATTCGCTCAACTTTGGTAAAAAAAAAAA